CTAGCGCGGATTAATCTAATGTTCTGAAGAGTATGTGTGGCAGTCAGTCACCGCACCGCTGTGGATATTTACTGTACTTTGCAATCACAGATTCTAGCCTACGTTTTGGAATATATGACTCAAATAAGAATTCTCACCATATATTGCCATCTGAACAAGTAAGTAACAAGTCTGCTATGTTTGTTCTGACCAACTGAGGAAAAAAGCATTACCATAAATCTCGCTACCAATGGTGATTAAATCTAAAGATCAAGCACATTTATAACTGGAATATAATTGAATTTAATTAACATGTGTTTCATAAACACATGATCCTTTCTGGATTGCAATCCGCCATCAAAATGATCAATTTAATTATTCCAGCTGCTGTGAGAAAAGGCTATAAACGATCCGCCACCTGCAGGATCCTCACATGCGATAGATAGCCTAGTAGCCGGGACAACTTCTTTATGTTTACAGACGTGACGTAATGCTCTAATTTCCCGCAAAAACCTACCAGTACCACTAAAATCAGAAAACATTATTATAAGCTAACCGCTGTGAATCGGGCTAAAGTAAGGCGATAGTTTTGAACACTGGCTGGTTATGTACCTGCTCAAATATTGATTTCGGATAATTTTTAACCAAAAAAAAGCTACGGACTGCAGCTTTAATGAAGATTTCAACTTCCGACTTCAACTTCCCTCCAATGCAGTTAAACTGAAAGAGCGTTGAAGAACAGTGACTGAAGAATCAGGCTAAACAGAGAATGAGTATTAAGAGGGTATAGGTGCGTTCACGCCAAATCGGAATTCCCGTACGAGATTCTAACTTGTAAAAAGCGTTCACGTCCTCGTAGAACTCCTAATTACAACTTGTGAACTGGGAGTTTTCTGAGAGCAACGACTTGTACAAAGTGACCGCTGTACCACCTGACCACCGCAGGTTCTGGTTAGGCGTTGATAGTGTTGCCATAGAAAAGCATAGTTCCGAGTCCGAGGACGTGAGCAGCTCCGAGTAGAACGTCACGTGCTGTCATCTCGAAATTACGGAAATTACGATTTGTAGTGAACGCAGCACATATGTCGAACATCACCTGACCAAACCCGGACAACAGGGCTCATCGCTTCCGCTTGTTAATAACGATCAGTTACACTAGCTAGCTGTTTTTATTGTTGTCGTTTTATTTAATTTGTATATCTAAATGTTAGTGAAAAGAATAAAAATAAAAAAACATTTAGATATCGCTCGTCACAAACTCCGCCCACACAGGTTTCTTCCTGCTTTCATGAAACCTCGACATGCAGGTATCTAATTTACTTTAAAGACACTCTTTGTGGTCCGTAGTTTAATACGTAAATATGATATACGACACAAAATTATGTTTTTAGTTTTATTAAGAGTGTAATTGTAACTAGTCGCAGAAATGGTTGGTTTCACTTTCATATGTTTCAGAGAAACGATAACACAATCTAAAATTGTGTGTCTAAGACTGTATTTATTTTAATGTGCAGTTGTAATCAATCAGTTGTTATGTATTGCTTTTGTAATTGTTGCATTTTGCATACATTTTCATAAAAAATTGTGCACGTTGCTAAACAAATCTCTCAAACAGCTCTTGTTTTGTCATTAAATCAAATATTTAGTGTGTGTTGATCAGGTAAAATCAGTGTAATGTCTGACAGGATGATGAACAGACAGATGTCAGGAGTCAGAGAAGATGATGATCAACTGATGACTAAAGAAAGAACAGAATATCAACATGTCCAGCAGAGAAAACAGAGCTGAGACTTTCATCTGTCAATGGTATTAACAGCTGAATCAACATCAGAGTCAGTCATCTCTTCTAAAGAGCTTTAAAAGAAAATACATTTGAAAAATGTGGACATATACAGGTTTACAGAATATCTTCAGTTGTCTGCTTAATGAATAAAAGTAAATCATGTAAAGAACATCTGAAATTCAGTTAGAACAGCTGACATGTATCTTTGTCCTGTTGTAAGATGAACGAAGGACATGATTTGTGTACTTTTACTCAATTAAAATGATCTAACCAAAAATGTACTTAAGTACAATAAAACATGGAGAATTTTTACTATGAGTATTTAAAATAAAAGTGTGTTTTTCAGGTATTTAGGGATATTTAAGCATTCATTGCCAGTCATGTTTCTGTTGATGTTTCAGGTCATGAGTGTTTGTGAAATAATATATATATAAATATCAGCAGCCTCTTTGTTTCGCAGTTGTATGCTGTATGTATAGTGTTCATAGTGTCCTATTTATTGTGAAAAACTATTTCTTAATGATATTAATCACACTGAAGACTGATAAAGCATGTAATCAGAAATCATTCAACTACTAAGTACTGTATTTAATATATTTGATGAAACACTGAAAATGTTTTCTGCGTATCGAAAGGCCAGTATACACCAGTGTAGGTGTTCTAACTCATTACGTAAAAGATTATATAACATTTAAGTTTGTTTAGGTCTCACATTTTTTGCTATTTAAAAAAAAAAAGCATGGAATGAAAAAGACAGCAGAAGCTCATCCTGTTGCTCTTAATACTGCTGTCTCATGGCTGTTTAATAAAGATGATTTAATTATACCTTGCCATCATATCTTACAGTTTTACACCGTTTTAGTCTCTGTCTCTAATAATGTGTGCGTGTTTGTTTACCGCGGGAACACTGCAAACTCCTTTAGAGGATCAATAAATCTGACTTTAAAAAAACTGTTCTCATTCATGTGTTTTGTGGTTTTGTAGTTGTCATAGCCAGGAGTCAAATGTAAGTGTTTTTCATTTCTACAGCTGTTGTTCACGGTTCTGCTCAGAGGAGAAGACAGAGCAAAGAAAGACCACCCAACCGTAAGTCTATAGAAGAATATTGATGACCATAATGATCGATATGCAACAAATGTGGGCAGTTTTGCTCAATCTAAAACGCAAATGTGAGATTTAGTCCTGCTGGTGTGTACGATCTGTGATAGCAGAATGCTACAGTTCTTGGTGTCGTAACATTACTCGTGTGTTTCAGTGGGTGATCTGAGGATTGTTCTTCTGGGGAAGAACGTGTCAGAAAACAGTCGAGTGGGAAACTTCATCTTAGGACGAGCAGCGTTTGACAGTGAAGCTCCTCCAGATGTTGTAGAGAGAGTAGGAGGAAGACTGAAGGACAGACACCTGATCATCATCAACAGTCCTCAGCTGCTCCAGACGAACATCTCGGATCATCAGCTCACACAGACAGTGAGAGAGTGTGTGTATCTGTCTGATCCAGGACCTCGTGTGATCGTGCTGCTCCTCAAACATGAGCCGTGTTCAGCAGAAGATCAAGAGTGTGTGGAGAAGGTGCTGCACTCTTTCTCTGAGCGCGTTTATCAACACACCATGGTGCTCAGCACACAAGACACCACTGAAACCAGTGGCATCCTACAGACAATCATTCAGAAATGTGCAAACAGACACTTCAGGCTTCAGAGGAGCAGCTCTCCTGATGATCTTCTGCAGATGTTTGAGGACATCGTGCAAATGAATGATGGACGTCACCTGGTTTGTGCTGAAGCTTCACAGAATTTGACAATGGAGCAACAAACCACAGAGCGACGTGAGTGTGAGGATATTTGATGTTTCTTGTTATATATGAATATTTTGTAACTTTCTTCTTCTGTCAGTTTCAGAGGGTGTGAAGCTGAATCTGGTTGTGTGTGGGAGTGACGGGACATTAAAATCCTCCATATCAGAGCAGATCCTGCAGCAGACAGACGTGGAGCTTCATGGACGTGTGATCAGTGTAATAGAGCTTCCAGCTCTGTTCAACACTCGGCTCTCAGAGGAGGACGTGATGCGTCAGACTCTCAACTGTGTGTCTCTCTGTCATCCTGGAGTTCATGTTTTCCTCCTCATTGTTCCTGATGCTCCACTCAATAATGAAGACAAAGCAGAAATGGAAGAAATCCAGAAGATTTTCAGCTCAAGAATCAACAAACACATCATGATCCTCATAATGCAGGATTCAGAGCATCAGACAGCAGAACTCAATGAAGAAACACAGTCTGTCATTGAGAGTTTCGGAGGACGACATCATTACTTTGGTCCCAGCACACAAGAGTCCACACTGATGGAGAACATCGAGCAGATGCTGGAAGAAAACAGAGGAGGCTTTTTCTCTACAGAGACACTTCTGGAGGCACAGATGAAAAAACTGCTGCAATTTGAAGAGATGAAGAAGAAACTTAATTCATTAGAGGCACATTTACTGTCACAAGGTAATGAGTAGAAAATCAGAGTTTTAAACTATGGAGATAGAATTTTGTTGTTGTTTTAATCCTATGTGTTTTATACATTTGTATTTTTAAACAGCAGAACTGTGACATTCAACATTCCTAAGTAAAAAAAAAATAAAATTCAAACATTCAGATTATACAGAAACAAGGTAAAAGAATGTTCAGATCATTAGAACATTCAAAATTCTATTTTTTCCCCCAATCACATAACTACTATAATTCTCTGGATCTTAAGCTGAAAGTTTTACTGTAATTTTCTAACCTTTTTAATAATCTTTTTATGATCTAAACCTAAAAATGTTTTTTTCAGCTAGGATGCATTAATATGATAATCTATAAAAGTATCTAATGTCTGGCTGAAGCCACTCATCATCTAACTGTAGGCATGGGGTGAGTTTCACCAAAGCTTATTAAACTGTTTTAAATATGGAAAAGGAAAAGGCCCCACATTTATACTTTGAATTGGCATAAATATAAGAAAGAACATATTTGACTCGTGAAAATAATGAAACTAGTGAAAAGTGGCTCATCTTACCCTGACCCCCCGTAGATCTTGTCATTTGAGTAAATGAAGATGTTGTTTTAAATTTCTGTATGATTTGTTCCGTTTTTAATTTTCAGTTTCAAGAGAAAACACAGATGATGAACTGAGGATTGTGCTTCTGGGAAAAACTGGAGTTGGGACTGGAAGCACAATCTTAGGAAGAGATGCTTTTAAGGCAGAAGCATCATTTGAATCAGCGACTAAAGAGAGTCAGAGAGAAACATCTGAAATCAACGGTCGACGTGTTACTGTGATCGACACTCCAGGACTGTTTGATACTGAACTGAGTAATGAGGAGATCCAGAGAGAAATCAGACACTGCATCTCCATGATCCTGCCTGGACCACATGTGTTTCTCTTACTGATTCCACTGGGACGATTCACTAAACATGAGGAAGCATCGGTGAAGATCATCCAAGAGACATTTGGTGAGAAATCTTTAATGTACACCATGGTGCTCTTCACCAGAGGAGACGATCTAAAGGACAAAACCATTGAAGAGTGTTTGGGTAAACCTGGATCTCCTCTGATGAAGCTGATTGAAGCATGTGGAAACAGATATCATGTGTTCAATAATAATCAGACCGGAGACCGAACACAGGTGTCTGATCTGCTGGAGAAGATAGATGCCATGCTGAAAGCAAACGGAGGGAGTTTCTACTCATGTAAGATGTTCAGTGAGATGGAGAGAGAAAAACAAGAACAACAGATGAAGATCCTGATGGACAGAGTCAGAGAAAGAGAAGAAGAGATGAAGCAAGAACGAGAGACATTTAAACATGAAATCGAGCAACTGAAGCAAGAAAACAAGAAAGTAAAAACAGAAAAAGAGAAATTTCAGATCAAATACAACACAGAAACAGAACGACTGATGAACAGAATAGAGAACGAGACAAAAAAAGAGAAGAGTTCAATGAGAGAAGAAGAATATAAAACACTGATGAAAGACAGAGAGGAAAAGGAGAGGAAAATGCTCGAGCAGATGAAACAGGAACGAACGCAATGGGAGAAACAGAAACAAGATGAAAGACAGAAAAGAGAAGAAGAAAAAATAGAACAAGAAAAACAGAAATTTGAACTTTACAAGCAACAACAAAGTCCAGATAGAGATTACGGAATGAGTAAGTTGAAATTATGGACTTATAATTCTGTCAATATAAATATTACAGTATATTTCATATTTACACTTAGTTTTCAGTGCTGTAAAGTGTTCTGGTTAAATTCTGCATTTACAATCACTTACTACATGCAGCTCTTAAACCCAGAGGTAACTTTGATTGTTGACGGTCTGCTCCGTCTCGCAGTCAGTCAGCTTTTGTCTGATGTTCTAGCCATTGATCACATTAGTGATTTTCATTCATTCATTCATTCATTCATTCATCTTTCTACTCACAGTATTTGCAAACATTTCACAAGATCTATCCTGGACATTTTCTGACATGAATAGAAAGTGATATGGTTTCCTTTATACAGTGTAAGTTAGCATAGTATGTAAAGTGCATGTTGAAGTAAAATTAGTGATTGTGTGAAATTTTTTTTTTCCATACAGTGCAAAAAAGACAAAGAGTTCCTGTCAACATCCAGGATACTCCTGTCTCCAGTCTCTCACCCATAAGGATTGTGCTGCTGGGTCGTGGTGGTGCTGGGAAAAGTGCAGCTGGAAACACAATCCTGGGACAGAAAGAGTTCAGATCTGAGATAAGTGTGACTGCAGTAACCCGTGAATGTTCAGCTGCTCACACCACTGTTTCAGGCAGATCTGTGTCTGTAGTTGATGCTCCTGAATTCACTTACATCAACACTGAGCAGTCAATGACAGAGAAAAGGAGAAGTGTTTATTTATCCAGTCCTGGACCTCATGCTTTCCTCATTGTGTTTCCTCTGAATATGTGGTTCACTGAACATGAGCAGCAGATTATTCAGAAGATTGAGATGATGTTTGGTCAGGAGGTGTTAAAATACTCCATCATTCTCTTCACTTATGGAGATCTGCTGAAAGAAGAAACCAGTGAGGAACTCATCGAGAAGAACTATGTTGTAAGACTTGCAGTACAGCAGTGTGGAGGCAGATATCAGGTGTTCAACAACAGAGATCAGAATAACAGAAAGCAGGTGAATGATCTGCTGCAGAAGATTGACACAATGATCGAGCAGAACGGAGGAGGACACTACAGCAATCAGATGCTTGAAGATGATCTGAGATTCAGACGAGAGGAGAAACAAAGACAGTATTGTGTCTGTAGTTGATACTCGTGATTTTTTCACAAAAATATTCAAACCTGAAAGTGTTTATTTATCCAGTCCTGGACCGCGTGCGTTTCTCATTGTTTAAGGGCAGGTCTGTTAGAAGAGAGCACAGAGAACCAGACTGAGGTGAACAGTAATGAGATGTCTGAAGATGCTCTGAGATTCAGATGAGAGGAAAGAAAAAACAGTAAATCTATGATAGATGAAAACACACAGACTGAATAAGTGATTGCTAAAAGAAAAGAAGCCACTAGTGATGTTTTGCATATGCTCTTAAAGGGGTAGTTCACCCAAAAATGAAAATGTGATGTTTATCTGCTTACCCCCAGGGCATCCAAGATGTAGGTGACTTTGTTTCTTCAGTAGAACACAAATTATGGTTTTTAAGTCCAGCCGTTGCAGTCTATCAGTCGTATAATGCATGGCAATGGTAACACCTCACGCATCGGATGCCGTGCGCGCGCCTAAAGACAGTTGGACATAGTGGTGTATTAGAGGTAAAAAATGATATAAATAAAAGGGAGGTTATTTTTATAACTTTAGTTAGGTAAGTCAACAGGATCAAAGGACGAGGCCTTCATTTTAAGTCCAACATAACTTCTTTTTATGTTTTTTTTTTTTTTTTGGTAAGAATCACCTAAAATAAAAGAAAGTTCGGAAATAAACCGAAATAGCAAGCCAGACGATGGCTGATTCAAACTCACACCTAATGAATTTTCTACTATATCTAATGTTTCCTCAGTTAATTAAAGACATTTTCTTGTAGCTCAAACAGCAGAGGATTCCAGCAACACTGAGATCATGGGTTCAATTCCCAGTGAAGCAATGCAAGAACTGATCAAATGTCCAAGTCAATGTGGAGAAAAACACCTACCAATGTGATAACTCAGACAAACAAGAAACGAGTTAAAATTTAAAATGAACATGAGTAACTTGGATTGTACATTAATAGTATATGTACTTTGTAATTGATCATGGTGACCTTGTATATATGCATGCATCTTCAACTTTATTAAGGAAACTGGACTCTGTCTATCATGCAGCATTACACTTTGTTTGTGGTGCAGATTTACTCATCATTGTATACTTTATGACTCATTGGCATGGACTTCCTTACATTATAGGAGGAAATTGCATATGTATGTTCATTGCTAAGGCTCTTTTAGGTAAGTTGCCTTTTTATATCTCAAATCTCCTAAATCTTTATACAAATAGTTATTGTACTAGATCTCAATCGTATATTTGGTTGAAAGTCCTAAAGTATGCTCTGAATTTGGTGAATGTGCTTTCTCTTTCTATGCCCCTTGGACTCGGAATGACCTGCAAACTGTAGTTTAACTAGAGACGCTGCCATCCCTGAATAGTTTTAAATGTCTTTTGCAAACTGTTTTAAAGGAATCTTGTAAGTGTTTTTCCTGATCTTATTTGGCCTAATTGCTGAGAGTATTGTGTTTTTATGTAACTTTATGTGCTGCCGTCTTGACCAGGTCTCCCTGGAAGAAGAGATTGTGAAGTCTCAATGGGATTTTCCTGGCTAAATAAAGGATAAATAAATAAATGTAGTTTTATGTTTCAGTGTTGGTCTTGTTTTGAATCAATTCAGTATTTCACGTAGAGCTATTCATGTATTGGGTAAGTATCAAACAAGAACGCTCATATACAGTAAGTCTTTGGGATTTTATATTATGACAGGCTAACTGTACACATTATACATAATTTTAGATTCTCTGCTGAGATATTCATTTACTGGTATCTGCTTTTCTGTATTTACAGGTTTCATAAAGTAGCTGATATATGTCTGTGAGATGATTAATGAAATATGTGTCACATTAGCGGTGTTATCTTTAGCAGTTTTCTTTTATCATGCAATGGGAAACAGGCTGAATTCCCATCGAATATATATTTATTTATAATAAAGCAGTAACTGTGATGTCTGTATTAACATCAGTCCGCCAGCAGAGGACCTCATTACTCCACTACTATACAGTACAGTCAGATTCAGCACAGTCTCTTTGCACCTACCTGCTCATCAGGTAAAAACTATGCAGTATAAAGATTATTATACACTCTTAGAAAAAAAGTTTGTTGGGGTTCTATAGAGAACCCTACACTGTAACCGATTTTTGTACAGTATTTTAATGTATATGTACAGTAAAATACACTGTCTACAGTATTTTACTGTAAACAGCAAAGGATTATGGGGAAATATACGGACACTACTGTATTTCTTCACTGATTTACAGAAGTGAACTTGCCCGCGAAAAAAACGGACCAATGGTAAGGGAGATTTATTTTTATTTTCTTTTTACTGTTTGGTGGAAGTAGCGATAAAAGGACAAAGGAGAACATTTCTCTTCTTGTGATTGCCATAGTATCAATGCCAATCACTAGAATATGGAAAAAAGATACTGTACATTTACTTGAGACGCACAATGAATTAATAATTTCATGCACATTTATTTTATTTGATGCAGGCAGTGCCTGTTTAAAAACATCACAAGATATATAATTCTGTCAGAGAAAACTCTACAAAATATTAAAACTAGATTAATTAAACACATTATAAACTGTTATGAAAAGGTAAACAATTATATATGAGAAACAGGTTTGTGCTATACAGAAAATTAATGACTTTATTAAGTGTAAATATTTTGTCTTATTATTTTCTGTCACTGGGTACATTGTGTGTAAAGCTCACTGGCAGGTTAACTCGTTTAACAGATGCTATAACAAATTTAAAAAATGTGACCAGAAAAATCATAAATTTTATTTTAAAAAAGCAAAAAAGGAATACAATTTCAAAATTGCTTCAAATCTTTTAAATCTTACAAGTATAAAGATATTAAACTCTTAGCTGTTTTAGAAATGACTGAGAGAAGCTCTTTCACTCACTGATACCAGCACAGATTAATGAAGCGCACAGTTAAACATTGTTTCGAGCCTGGGTGTCTCTGTATTTGTCCGTGGTTTGGTCTCCATCAGGAACAGATGTGGTGTGTTAACCTGTGATTGCGTTGGGGATAAAACCTTAGGAGTTGGACTGCGGTGCCGTTCACCTTTTCCTCTTCAGCCATGGACTGTTTTCTTTCCTTTATACTTTACTTACATTTTTGTATTATTATCAGATTAATTTCTGATTAAATGTTTATGTTAACTTTACCACTGTATGTGGCCTTCCTTTTTGTAGTGTTGCTCGAGCCTAGAGTAAATGGATATATGTAAAATTAATAAGTATAGAATACCAATAAGATATGAATGGTTTATATCACTCCACATAAGTCAAAGTATGTGGAGAAGCTAAAGCAAGCTAGACAATGTAATAATATTCAGATCATATATGGATTGTTTTTTTTTCCCATGATCCAGCATTTTTTAAAGATTTTTAAAATATATAATAATTAACCATGTCTTGAACTTTGGGAGTCTTGATTTTTTTTTTTTTTTTTTTTTTTACTTTGGGAGTCTTGACAGTCTTGGATATGATGGGAGTCTTGACAGTAAAATACGTTTTAATTGTTGTTGAGTAGAATAATTGAGAATTGAGAATAATCAATTTAAACTATTTGCAAATACTATTTAATTTTAAAATATGACATTCACTCTTATTCACATGTCAAATATGTCAAAAATGCTTCTTGTCTCATCACATTCAGTTATGAATTACATGAATAATGTAAATGATATATTAACAATTAAAAACGGTGAAATTTGATTTTAAAAAGTTGAGTAGTTTGCATCGCAGGGCATTACTGTTGGTCGTTAAAGACTTCTATCATTAAACAAATGTTAAATGTTAAGCTGCTTACATCTTACCATACACTCTTTCACCATTAAAACTAAAGTGATTCACGTTCATCTTTTGTGAACAGTAAAACCCCGTCTTCTTTGATTTGACTGGCCATCTCACTCATTCTGACATTGATGAGCACTGTTAGAGCACTGCAGACGAGCCTAAAAATGCAACTTTTACAACCTTTTGTCATCCTAACAACAAACAGAATGCTGCAGTGCAGCATCAAGAATATCAAATATTGGCGGGACAATATGGCCAGTTCAATTTATTTTTAATTTTATTTCAAATAATTTTAACTCTGTAAAGCTGCTTTGACACAATCAGTATTGTATAAAGCGCTATAGAAATAAAGGTGACGACACTATTTTCTCCTCAGTGGTGCTTACGGCCCTGATAGAATCATTGATTAAAGAAGATGATTTTACTTATTCCTATGGGCCTTTGTCGGAATGTGATTTTAGGACTCTTAGACCAGTAGGTATGAGAATTTGTCTCACGTTACTCATTAAAAACATGAAATGCTGTGCCAACAGTCCCATTAACAACTGTACCAAGAACACCACCACAAACTGCACCAACATCAGAAAAATTGTAATGTATTAATTACAGAAGCTTAAAAAAAACCTCTTCTTTTTAATTAATAAAACGGTTCTATTGTCACAATCTGTATTTACACCAGTTCACCAGCAGAGAAGCTCATCATTCCACTACTGATCACAGACTCATCAAGCTTTAGCCAATCTCCACTCCTGTTCATCAGGTAGAACAATATAAGCATTGTTATTATAGTGTTTTATTGTGAAGTATTGTTTGCAATTCCCATAATGAACCTCTGCTGTCTTTCTGTCGATATTGGTTTCATTTAAGAATGACAGAGTTACTATGCTTCTTAGTTTTACTTTGCACTGCTGCAATATTTTATTCTTTAATCTTATTTAGTTGCATCAAAAGTGGTGTGAATAGGCCTTAAGCTGCAGTCAACAAAGTCTGTATTTCAGTAACTGTATACACAAACACACACAAAGAGAGAGGCCCCAGAAAGTATTACATTACAAGTACCACATAAAATGTGAAAGTCCTTGTACTACATAAAATGCCACATGATTTGACATTTTATTCAGAAATACAGAACCAGCACTCTTTTCAAACACAACATTTCACAGAAGACAGATTAAGTCAGTTACTAGTTTGTAATAACGGGTAAACAAGTTAACGAACTACTGACGCCATGCATAACCAGGGCTACATCCAAATATGAGAGAACCCAATGGATAAATTAATGCTTGCTGTAATGAAAATTGGTATACTAAAATGCATAGCAAATATCGTACATATGATTTTATACTAGAGAAAAATTATTATACTGAAGATTACTGGCAGTCAGTGAACTCTCACTAATATCTCAGACACGAAGCTTTTGTAGTTGCCTTCTGAGCTCTGGGATGTTTTCCTTAACTTGTGTCTCTTCCACCTCGTGTCTCGCAGCTCTGCATTTCTGCTTATAAAAACGCAAAAACTCATTCAAATGTGTGTCCTTC